GGTGGGGCGCAGGCAGGGAGGTCAAAGCCGGAAACTTTTTTGAGTTTAGACGGTAGGAGCGCAATCTCTTGCTCACCACAGTGCCACCTCCCGGGCCGCCAGCCTTCTAGAAGTTCCTTTAGCAAGCCGGCGATGTGGCCGCGCTGATCGTATACTAACCGCTAAGCAGTTGCTGGGCCAACTGTGACACCACTCCCCCTACCCTCGACACCACCGCCACTTTGTCAGAGATGAGCCAAATGCCGGATTTCAACTTGGGGGGACATAGCAGCTTGGTGGCAAGCGACAGGAAAAAGGACAAGGACCCCAACTGGGTGGAGGGCAAGCCCTAGGCCCAGACCGCCCTGCTGAAACAGCGGCAGTCGACCCGAGTTCCTGCCCTTTGCCACTTCACTATGATACAGACATAGTTCAAAGCACTTTATACGATTTAACTAATTCTCACTTGTTAACCGCGCGAGCCAGCCGGTGCAGGGTTGCCCTGAAGCACCTAGCATCATGCTCAAGTATACAGTAGGCACTAAATGGCTGCCGGTTGGGTTAGTCGGTTGAAAGTTGGCTGTCAAGCGTTAGGGCTGCGGCATCTGCCGGCGAAACGTGGCATTGCAGCCGAGATTTGTCGCATCTTGGTCTGGCGAGGTGTGGTACCAGGAGCCTAATGGGCAGTTAGGGTTTCCTCAAGTGAACTGTGACCTCCCCGTGCACAGGTCGGCGCCCAACCGAGTCACACTGGCCAGAGGGGCAAATTACTTCTTAAAAGTCAATCCCTAAAATCAGAATAAGAACATTTCCCTATGACTTCCTAATTTTAAGGTTGGTGATGCATGTAAAAGGGTTTATAATCATCTTCCTCATCTGCCCTTTTCTACCACTGCTTTAATAAATATTTCCCCTAAGTCTCCATCGAGTTGGGACATATGCTTCAGGCAACAAACACACAGATCATCTACTAACCACTAAGCAGTGGCCCTCCATCCGCCCACCCCAGTACGCCCCTTGGCTTTCACTCTGAGATTAACCCTTTGTTTTTAATCTTTTTCATTTCTGTATAAAATTTCTCTCCTTTATACATTGCTTCCTAAACAGAAGCAGTATTGTAATTATGATCTTCATTCCAGTAAAGTAATTTTCACCGCTCTCAGAAAATGTTGGCTTAGCAGTGTAAGCTAATGGCATCTGTTACGTGATAGGAGCTCAAATTATTTGTACGAGTTGGGTGAGAGGGGAATGGCTATTTGTTACTGTGTCCCTGTATTTGATTATTGTTATAATGAGCATATATTACTTTCATCATATAAAATTTTGTTAAAATACATAAAATTAACCATTGTAACCACTTTAAGTGTACAGTTCTTTGGTATCAAATACATTCACATTGTTTTGCAGTCACCAACATCCATCCCCTGAACTGTTTCATCTTGTAAATTGGAAACTCTATACCAATTAAACAATAACTGCCATTCTCCCCTTCCCCCATCCCTGGTAACCCACCCTTTTTTGTCTTTATAATTTTTACTGTACCACCTCCTATAAGTGGAATCATGCAGTACTTATATTTATGATTGGCTTAATTTAGCCTAATGTCTTCAAGGTGCATCCATGGTGTAGCATTTAAGTGTTGAGGCTTGTAAACACCAGACCAATAGATGAGTGGTCTGTGAAATCTATAGCTCACAGCTAGGTCCAGCGATAAAAGGCAAAGGTCTATACTTACATGTGAAGACCTATGGCCAAAGAGAAGGTGCTAGAGCCAGTGATGAACAGACCAGGAAGGCTTAAATAAGAACTTCAGTTGTTATCGAGTGAAGATAAGGTAATTTTCTGAACCTAAAAAACCCTCGTTTTGTGCTACTAACCTAAGGCACAGAGGTAACAAAGGACAGGACAAAAGTCTGGAGTCCTCCCTTTATATCCACAAGGGAATTTTATGGTCAAGAATGAATCGGCTAGGGGTGGTGAACACAACAGTGTACAGATGATGTGTTGTAGAACTGTGCCCCTGAAACCTGTATGAGTTCTTAACCAGTATCACAAGAAATCCAATAAAAATAATCACTTTTTTGATAAATTTTAATCTTCACCTGAGGATACGTTTGATTTTATAGAGAAGGGAGAAACACCCATGTGAGAAACTTCAACTGGTTGCCTCCCACACTCACCCCACCCTAGGATCCAACACAAAACCTAGGTATGTGCCCTGACTTGGAATCAAACCCACATTTTGGTATACAGGACGATGCTCCAACCGGGAACACCCGGCCAGAGCTTAAGCAACTAAGCCCGGCCAGGGCACTAGCTAAACTACTTTCCCAGGCTGTATATTGTGTGCATATTACTCAGTCTTTTGATCATTCATCTAGTAAACGTGGAGATCCATCTGTGGGCTGTGTCATGCTAGACACTAGGAATACATGGTTAAAAAGGCTACAACATACTGTCCTTCAAGGAAGGAGTGTCAGGGAACACTTCTGAATGTTGAAAGGTGAATATGACTTCATCAGCAGGCAAGGCAGGAAGAGCACTGAGAGGGGCACACAAGTTAAGGTGGTCTTTTAGGGACAGCATGATTGAGTTAGGGACATACAAGTAACGGGGCCTGGCTGGAATTTGCGAAGATGCATACCCAAGGTGGAACCCTAGTGAATCCTAGCACTTATGGGATAAAGAAGGGAGCTATGAAAAGGTAGAAAGGTCTTGAATGTTAAAGCATATGGTACAACAGAAGCCAAGAGAGAGATCAAGGAGACCGTGGGTAGTGGTAAATGCTGCTAGTGTCAAGTAATGTAAGGACGGAAAAGGGTCCACTGAATTGGCAGGTAGGGTGTGGCCTACACGAGGCAGAGTTTTTGGAATGGTGGGAACAGAAAGGTGAAACAAAAACCCATTTAACATCATGTTGAATAACTATGAGTCCATGGAATAACTTACCCAGGAAAGCGAAAGGTCAAGGAAGGTTGTCTCCAACCAGAGCTATTTTGAGGAACAAGACATCTGACTCCAGCAGTTAAGACATTTCTCTCTCTGAAGAGAGGCTAACAGTTTCATTATAAAGAGCCAAGCAGCAGCAAGGTCGAGAGAAAAATCAAACTGACTTCACATTGGGTATCCCAACATGTGGATGATTGCCCCCTTGCCTCACGTTGTCCGTGTCCCAGTATAATGGTAGGTAATAACCCATCCCTTAAACCTTTTTTGTAACCCTCTTGCTTGAAATATGTTATGGCACAAAGTTAATATGACCTTGTATGTAAGAACTTTGAAGGTCCCGTTTTCCTCCAAAATTTAAAGTTTTTTATTATAAGTACTAGAAATTATAGACCATCTGAAAAGTTTTCCACTTAATCTTCAAGTTTAAACTGGCTATTCTAAATAGAGATCATTGCTTAAATCAATTAAGAACAAAACCAGGAGGAATATTTTCCCCCTGCTCTATGCCTCCCCGTTTCCAAATTCACAAAAACTGACATGCAAATGGGAGTTCCTGGGGATCAAGTGCAGGATCTGAATATAACCAGGCAGGGAAAACCGTTAGATTTCTGTCAAAAAAAAAAATTTAAAAATTGCCAGGGTAGCATTTCAGGACAAGTCCGGATGTCAAGGTGTTTCCTGCAGCAATTACAAACCTGTCCTTTCAGAAATTGTTTGGTAATCACTCTGAGAAGTTAATTTTTTTAAATTTTAAACATTACAAATGAGCAAAAGAAACAGTATCATTAAAATGAAGAATAATCTATTCACTTCATATTTATATAAATTATCAAGACATTATCTACGCTTAAGAGCATGGACTTCTGAGTCAGATGGAGCTGTGTCAATTCAAGTGTTGTATTTCTAGCTAATAATCTTTCTGCTAATTTACCGCTAACAGTTCTCCTCAATGAAATGACAAGCTATTTTAGACCTCATTTTTCCTATTATAGCAACTTGGGTCAAGTTTCTGCTTCGGTAACCATAATCACTAAGGAAACACAACAGTTCATCAATGAAAGGACATCTCTTAAATGTTCAAGGCCAAAAGTATCTTTTTTTAAAATAAAGTAGACCACACCTGGAGAAGGCAAGGGGTACTTCTTCCCTCTACCCAAGAACCCTCGGAATGAAGGCAAGGAAGTATTCCAAGAGTCAGAAAGGTGAGTTTAAACTGTATGTTTAAAGCACAAACATTTCACATGGTACTTCATAGGTAACAATATTAAGTGTTTCTTCTCTATTTGCAAGGTTAGTTGATAAACTTGTTATTAATAGCCAGAACTTGTGACTCAGAAGCAGCCCTATATTGTAGTGAAATACACTTAAACTCTTATAGTTAATTATATACTCCAAGTTTCTATTAAAAAATTAGCTAG